CCCCCTCGTTTATTCATGCTGCAGTGAAGTGGTTATTTTTTTCTTTTCTCTGAGGATTTTGGGTATCTGGGAATGGGAAGGACTACCTTGATACTGATTTTCTCAGCCTACTCTAGAAGCCAGGCATGTTTGCAGATTAGAGCCAGGGGCAGCTGCCCAGATACTGTGTTTTCCTTTGAGGACGGTAAGGTTGGGGAATTAGAGCAGGACATGCCTGGATGTCAGGGTTCCCTGAGGAGAAGTGGGTTTACAGCCAGATGAAGGGAAAGCCTCCCACAGTCACTTTTGGGGAATGAGTTGAGGAGATGTTTTTTTAATTAACCATTTGTGTTGAGGTGGACCCTTTGGCTGGGGGAGCTTATGTTGGGCAAGAGGGTTGGAAAGATTTGGGAACCTGGGGGATAATGGATAATAAAGACAATTGTTGGTGTGGATGTGTCTCTGCTTTTGGAGCATGTCAGTGGGGTGCCACATCTCAGTGAGATGCCGGACGCCTGCTGAGCCGGAGCTGGAAGCCCCTCCGCACACTGCAGAGGGGCTGGGTGCAGCTCGGGGGTGTGAGGTGAGTTGTGACTTGGACTCAGAGTGGCAGAGAATCCTTCTCTTTCATTAGTTACTGGTTCCACCTGGTGGTCAAAATATTAACTGCACCGGTCCAACCGTGCATTCTCTTTCCTGGGGTTTATTTAGGTACAAATAAACTACCTGGGATATTAAATGGGATTGTTGCACTGCACTCCACCTCAAATCAGGTGTATGTCCATCAGGAAAGAACTATGAGGCTGGGCACAAGCAGCACCTCCAACATCTGGATTTCTTCTGGCTCTGGTGATACAGAAAGAGAATGAAGTATTGAAGCCACACGCCTGTTCTTGGCTTTCAGGTGGAGAGATTTAATTCCTGGCTGTTAATCGCTACTGTCCTTGGCATGACAGATGCAGGACCAGGGTGTTGTACATGACAGGGTGCTCTTCCCCAGAGGACATCTTTGGACGTCAGCAAAACACTCTCCCCACTTATAAGACAGGCATAATTATCACCAAAAAAAAGACCTTTAATTCCACACACATGGGGCTTCAATCTCTCCGGTACAGCTTGGTCACATGGGCTGCTCAACCCATTCCCTCACTTTTATTCCACTAAATCCTGGAATCTCCCCATAGAAGGGAAGAGGACCCCAGCATTTTGGTACTCATTCTCCTCCAGCCCACTCTGCCTTTAGGGTTTGCATTGTGCCCCAGAGGGTGCCAGAAATGACTGCCTCCCCTGGGCATCATATTTGTCCATCCAGAGCTAGGCAGGTTTTCCTCCATCTTGTAAGGTTATTCCCAGTGATGATGATTCTCTCCCACAATCCTTCTACTGCCTGAGGTCTCCAGGGTTCCTGGTTTCCAGATAAATGAATCTCAGTCCCTGGCCCTGGACCTGTTGCCAATCACTCTCTGATACAGTGGGCCAGCGAGAGGAAAACAGATTAATGAAAATCATGTTTGGGAGTGAGGGAGACACGGACAAATGGGCACACACTGCACATGCACACTGTTGGTTACATACCATGATGTGCACACGCAGTTTCATGCACACTCATTCCATATGTACACCCACAGCCTTGAACATACTTTCTGTACACCCGTCCCACCTCACTGTGATCACGCACCATTATACATACACCATTTCTGACACACATAGACACAGCCATACAATCCCATGGTTGCACATACTGACCTTGTGCACATACGCACACACACACACAGAGGCACAAACCTTATGGCTTACATAAACAATGCATGCTGGGCCTATGTGAAGTGCCTAGCACATTAGGCAAGGGCCCATCTCAGTTTAGGTTGTTCCCTGTGGGTGGAAAGAAGGGGCCTAGCGCAGCCATTCTGGCCAAAGTTCTGGTTTCCATCATCCCTGCTCAAAGCCAGCCATGGAGGGGAGACTCTTGGCCTTGTGACCTCTGACCAGAGCAGGAGGTGAATGTGGAGAAGGAAGAGCAGGAGGAGAAGGAAGAGGAAGAGGAGACACATCTCCCCAGTGTGATAAGAGAACATGAAGACCCCTGTGAATAAGAATGTGAACATTATCAAGTCTGTGTCCCATCCTGTGGGTTCATA